AGAAAGAAAGAAAGAAAGAAAGAAAGAAAGAAAGAAAGAAAGAAAGAAAGAAAGAAAGAAAGAAAGAAAAGAATCCCCTCAAGGGCCTGGCAGGTTAGTTCGGTCAGTTAGAGCGTGCATCCCTGTACCAGCCAGCTGCCAAAAGAAAAAGAAAAAGAAAAGGGAAAGAATCCCCTGGCTCTTCTGCTTACAGAAGGTAGGCAGTTGGGGGAGGAGGCAAAGGAGGAAGATGAGCCTTAATCCAGGCAGAGGGGAGCAATGGTTTGGTCTCGAAAGGGGGTGACAGTGTAATCTGGATGACATCTATCCCATCAGGAAAGCCGATATGTCTCCCTCTCCTCTCCTCCCACCACTGATAATCATTGGACTAGAAGAGCCCAAAGGCAAGGCTGCAAAGGAAAAGGGGGCCTAGACTGCACATCTAGCCTACCACCAGCAGGTGTCGCCCTATCACCGGGCAGGAAGGCACTGGGTCCAGGCCGGGGCGGGGAGGGCAGGGGACCGGCTGGGCATGGGACCAGCAACCCAGTGGGTCTATGTGTTCAGAAACCAAACTTTCATTCTAACCAACACCTCTTTCATCTGGAGTAAAGAGTGTTTATGCCAAGTACCTGTTAAGGTGACATTTCAGAATTCAACCATGGGGGTCTTGGTGAGGGGATCCCTTCAGAGGAATAAGGCACTTATCACTTGCTCACTAAAGGCAGTTATTATTACTATGGGCCAGACATTTTTATATGCACCACACGCTACATTAGTTCATCTCATTCCATTCTGGTGAGGTGGGTACGATTTTTATTGCCATTTTACAGCTGAGGCAACTGAGGCACAGAGAGGTTAATACTTTTCCCAAGGTCACTAGCTGGGAAGAGGCAGCACCCAAATCCAAGCCCCAGGCAGTGTGACTGCACACCAGGCTTGGAAGCCTGGAGTGCGCTGTAGGCGCTGTGCTCACGTGTGCTGAATGAGGTCGTGAAGGAAGAGTGAGCATCTTCCAGGGCCTGGCTGTGTGTGGGGAGAGGTTAGCAGCTGACAGGGACTGACAGGTTCTATGTATTAGTAGCTTGAGCCCCACTATGACTGTTAAGAGGGTGGGAAATTCTATTATAGTAATTGAAAGGTGAGGCCTTGAAGAGGTGATTAGATTCGGAGGACCGTGCCCTAATGAATGGATTAATAATGGTGGTCATGGGCGTGGTTCTGAGGACATGAACAGGAGAGCACGTGAGAGGCTCTCTCTCTGCTCTGCTATTTTCTTCCATGTGAAACCCCTGGGTCACTGTCACCACCACCAAGGCCTTTACCAGGTGTGTTCCCTGGATTTTGGACTTCCTAGTCTCTGAAACTATAGGCGATAAGTTTTGTTTTCTTGCAAATTACTCAGTTCCAGGCATCTTGTTACAAGCAGCAGAAATGGACTAATACACGAACTGGGTAGGTGAGTGGAGCCCTCACTGCGATGAACACACACATGGAGGAGAGAGTGGGGACATGGAGAGATGGCAGGTTCAGGAGGGGACATATTGTGTATGGGGGTCCTGTGGGACATGAGAGTGGGGTGCTGGCAGGTGATGACTCATTCCCTTTTTTAAATTTAATACTTTATTTTATTTATTTTTTGGCAGCTGGCCAGTATGGTGATCTGAACCCTTGACCTTGGTGTTATCAGCCACACTCTAACCAATTCATTCCCAATTGGAGCTCAGGTCAGAGGCTGAGGCTGGTGGTGGGGGAGCCA